AGTAAACTGTTTAGCACTATTGGTTAATTCAATAATAATTTTCTTCACACACCAAAAATGGTATACTCTACTCAACATTTTATAGCAACCACTAGTAATTAGTATCTTACTAGTTTCTTAAAAATGTAATATTAATTATTATTATAACTAAATTTGTTTACCTCTAATATGAGAGTAAGAAAAAAGAAAACAAGTCAACTTTATAGTAGGTAACATTTTAATATATTAACGGTATTTTTCTATTGTTAGCACTTGAAAAATCGTTTAAAATGTCTTCACTGTTAATATTGTTTGATATGGCTCTCTCAATATGAATGATAGATAAATTTGAAAACCATTCTTGTATCATAGTAGACCGTAACCATGTTTTGACTCGCCTCATTGCAGAAAATGACCTTTCACAAGTTGAACTACTTATTGGCAAAGTATATGCAACACCAAGGAGTTTGTATAGATTTGGAAAAGTAGCTTCATTTATGATACTTTTCATTTGCTCTGGATCACCTAATACCTGATCTTGATACACAGTTTGAAAATCATTTTTTGCAACAGTCATTTCCGCCATTAATGTATCAGTATCAATTTGAAACAGATCCTATAATACAGTAGTAAAAAAATATAAATTAAAGCATATAATCATAATATTCATTGTTTAGAGATTTTATTGAAAGATGATGTATTCTTACTTTATAATGGTTAATGAATAATTTGCTTTCTTTAAAATCAAGCAGAAAAAAATTGTCGACGGACTGAGCAAGCTCTAAACTTTGATCAGAAAAACGACAAATAAAATTTTCAATAACAGAATCAAGCACAGCATAATATTTGATTCGCCAAAATGCTTCATTTGTTACTTGAGCAGAAACTTCTTTTTGAGCACTAGTTGTAGAAGTTACATAAAAATGTGACAAACGTGTACTTTCAACTCTTCTTCTTTTCGACCCAAGACCTAAAAATTAGAATGAATATAAATTACTAATTATAACATTGATATTTTTACAATTAGAAAGTAATATAATTTGAAAAAATACAAATAAGTAATTACCAATTGTAGGTTTCTCAATCGAAACTTGATGCTTTTTGGCAAATTCATTTATTTGATTCCAAATAACCAAAAATGTATCATCATTTCGATAATCTTTTAGACTTTGTATTACAGAATGAATTATTTGAGCTGCTTGTCTTAGAGTGGCGGTTTTTTCTTGTAATCTATTACTCAGAATGTTTACAACAAGTAAAATTTCATACAAAACAAATAGATGAACCACAAATCCTGGTTCCTGAAGTAATGATAAAATTCCTAAAAATAATACATTTTATATTTTATTGTGTATGATTAAAATTATTTCAGTTTAATTTAACCTTTAGCTTGTGCCACATCTCTATCATTGTTATCTTCAATTTCTTCATTAAGAACTTCAATTAGAGCAGGATAATTTTCCATAATTACTTTACAATTATGATAACGACAAGACCAACGTGTGTCACTTATTCGAGTTATACTTTTGTTCTTAATCTTGACTTTATTTTTAATTTCTAGAAATTTATAGTTGGTAGTAGGCATAGCAAAATGTACATATACTGCCTCTAAAGTATTAAATAGACTTTTAGCTTCCTAGAAATAAATTAAAAATGATTTATAAATACTGTAAAATTGTAAACATAACTAAAATGTATTTATATTTCATATTTACATTAACTGACTTGCACATATCTATTACAACTAAATTTGTCCTGTGTGCCATACAATGTGTGTAGATTGCATATGGATACTTTTCTTGAATTTTTTTTTGAACACCACCATGTTTCCCAGACATAACACTTGCTCCGTCATATGATTGAGCAATTATGAGAACATCAATTAAGTTATATTTTCCGAGAAAACAAACAATTGCTGATGTCAACGATTCTGAATTTTGATTTTCAAAAACATTGATGAAACCCAAAAAACGTTCAAAGATTTGAAAATGATTGGTATATCGAACGCACAATGCCATTTGTTCTTCTTTAAAACTTCTAAAAAGATATATTTTGTTATAAAAAATATGGTGATTAGAACTGCCATGAAGTTGTAATTTTGATTTTGATCCTTTCCCTTTAGAGCCACTAAGCTGTAAATAAAAATAATTAATGTCTATATTTACCTACTAATAACTGTTCACAAATGACTAGGCTACCTATATACAAATATATAATACAGTATGAAAAAATGTACACTCTATTACACCACCTATGTAAAAATAAAAAGTTTAAAAGCATCAGATTTTTAGAAATATTCTCCTCTTTAAATTTAACTATGGTTTGAATTAAATAATCAAAGTTTTAATTTAAATTCTGTAGGTAAAATGTTAAATCTACATACTTTACCTGCCTATAAGTTTCAAATTATAATTTATATCATATGATGGAAGTCACAAGAACCAGATGTAATCTTTTACACATTTCAAAATTAATACAATAATAAACTTAGTTTAAATTTTAAAAACAGTTTAAAATTTACCTTTTTCCAATTGTTGAATCCTATTTTGACAAATGTATCCTCATATAAGTGATTTTATAGGTATGTACACATGTACAATATTTACTTAAAAACCATATTATATATTAAGATCATTATTATAGTATACAATATTATGTACTTACACGTTTTGTTATGCAGCTCTCCAAACTATTAACTTAGGCACGTGATTACGTATAACAGACGTGTAATTATTAACTTTTAAAACTTAAAATTATAATAAACATGACGTAGGTATATATACTATATAGCCATATGGTGTGTAGCCGTGTAGGTCTCAAGTTCAGTATTTGATCCGAATATCTTGTGTAATGGTGTATTAATATTAAATATTCATGTGACAATATTATACTCTTTTCAGAATAAGAACGCACCAGATTTACGTAACAAAACCGGTTTTGTCCGTGGCCGCCTGGTTCCTTCTTATTCTGAAAAGAGTATAGTGTGTTGCAACTTGCAGCAGTACATACTGCATAGTGCATAACCATAGACAAGAATACTAACCATGACAAATTATTAGTTATGACAAATAATTTGTCATGATACTAACTAACTGAATTTCTGCATAGTGCATACGCTACGCTCGCCGGTACCGCGGTCTGCGCCCTGTGTGGCTGTGTTAGTTGTTTTCTGTATTGTCATTTGTCACTTTATCTATAGGAATGGGTTGTGGCGCGAGGAGTGAGGACTGCGGTCGCGGCTAATTCACTGATAAACTGAACCGTTGGTATATATAGTTAATAGTTACATAGCACATAATTTGACGGAATTACCCCTCAGCCGTCAGGGTTTTTATTTTTATTCTATTTGACACTTTGGTCGGTACTGGTGGGTGGGCAAATCGGCAATAGACCGAAATAGTAAATACTAAATACTCAATATTGTGTTTGTGACTTGTGTTACTAAGTAATGAACGTCATGTTCGTTTTATAGAACAATATTCGTATGAAACTACGAACATTCTAATCCAGTGGCGTACTTAGAAATTTGGTTGGGGGGGGATATACGTTTTTAGCAAACATGATGAATGGTCATTATCAAATCTGTTGTAAATATTGATTTTTCATTTTCATTTTTACTCAAAAACGTCGTGATAAATCACCATGTAATTAATTAATCTTTAATACTTCATAAATGTTATCTTTACGAGCATACTCAGTTTAAGTCTATGGGACCAGTGGCGTATTTAGGAATTTGTCATGGGGAGGGTCCAGATAATTTTCAGAACACAGAGCCACGGGGGACGAAGCCCCCCACACCGCCAATTTACTCTTTATTAAATAAAATATACCATATTTATAAGACGATATAAAATTGTCGAGTTTTTAATTATTAAATAATAATATGTACAAAACAACACACAAAAATAAAAACCACTAACACCCAATGGCCTATGTTGCCGCGGGTTATCCAATAAAAAAAAAAAAAAAAAAAAAACAAATTTAAAAAGAAGCGGGTAAGTGGATGTCACTCTGCTGCTGTACAGTAGGTTACAAGTGGGTCAATGTATTGTTAGCGACAAATGTTTTTTTGTTTAAAATGTATCATAATCAAATCAAGTTATAATGTATATTGTAAGGGCCGAGGCACTGTGTGCCCTGAACTGGTCACACTGCGCCTCGCGCCCAACCGAGACACGGACAACCGCGACGGCGGCACGTCCGGCGACAGTCTTGCTCTAGTTTTCGTAGCGACCGGGTACACCGTTTTGTCCCGCGTCCCTGGCGACCGTTTATCCAAGTAAATCACAGTCATGTTCTAGTTTTCGTAGCGACCGGGTACACCGCTTTGTCCCGCGTCCCCGACGACCGTTAATCTAAGTTGTTAAGTTAGAAACTGTAATATTATGTTCTTCTAGTTTACCGTTTGTAAGAATAAACGCCGAATACCACACACTTCGTTCTAAATATTTACCTAGTTTCCAGAATCCTGACCCGAGTCTTACCTTAAACTGCTACCGATCCTTAGTTGTTTAAAGTTTGCTAACATTTCAGAAGTGGGATAAGCTCGAAGGCCCCTCACACGTGTTTCCGAGTGCGTCGACGGACCCGAAACTCCGAAATCGTGACCCGTTTGTCACGAGGTTTCTGTTCGGTCACGTTGTATTTCCGTGTGCGACTTCGGGAAAACCCATCACGTAACGTACGTAACGTTATCTCGCCTGCTGTTTTCGATCGCGATCGTGCGAGTGCGCCCGTCCGCCGCTCCGTCGCCCGATCTTGCGAGTGCGCCCGTCCGCCGCTCCGACGCCCGATCGTGCGAGTGCGCCCGTCCGCCGCTCCGACGCCCGATCGTGCGAGTGCGCCCGTCCGCCGCTCCGACGCCCGATCTTGCGAGTGCGCCCGTCCGCCGCTCCGGCGCCCGATCGTGCGAGTGCGCCCGTCCGCCGCTCCGACGCCCGATCTTGCGAGTGCGCCCGTCCGCCGCTCCGACGCCCGATCGTGCGAGTGCGCCCGTCCGCCGTTTCGACACCGATCTTAATATGGGTGACCATACCCCACCAACGAACATTCAGCACATCCAAGCTCCCACGTACAACGAGCTTTTCAATCTGGCCCAGTCGCTGAAGTCGCGGTTGGAGTTGCTGGAAAAGAATGCGGGAAATCCTGTCACGACGCAGCCCCCGACACAGCAAACCGAAAACTCCGTGCCACACACTTACAGCGATTACCGAATGTTGCCGGATCTGAACCGAACTGTGCCTGAATTCACCGGCCACGAATCGAGCTGCGCCGCCGAAGATTGGTTGAGCACTGTCGATGCTCTGGCTGGTATAAACAATTGGCCAACGCCATACCGACTGCAGTTCGTGAAATCGAACATGATGAACGCGGCCCGTAGCTGGTACCACACGGAGGTATTCACGGATTGGTCCGATTTTAAGGTGTAGTTCCGTTCCGCCTTTGTCCGTACACTACGTATGACGGACCGATGGAAGGCGCTGAGTGAACGTCTGCAAGGTGAAACTGAGCACATAGCTGACTATTTCTACGACAAGCTCCGTCTGTGCCAAGCTTTGCAGCTCACCTTCACTGAAACGCGGGACCACATCGTCATGGGTATTCGTTCTCAAGAATTGGCAGTTTATGCCATGAGCAGGGACCACTGCACTACCGCAACACTGCTGGCCGACCTGCAAGAATGGCAACGTTTGTACGAACTGCGACGGACGCAGTTTCCGACGACGGCTAGGCCACACGTAGTGCCTGCCGCGAAGACAACGAAGTACGAACAACGAAACACCGATACCCGTCGTACCGCCGATGAGACGCCGTCGACGTCGGCAACGCCAAGTGAAGGTCCAACGACCTCATCCGACTTACCGAAAACGTCCACGGTACGATGTTACAACTGTGGTGGTACCGGACATATATCACGTGATTGTCCGAAACCACGGAAACCATGTTCGGGCTGTCAGTCGACGACGCATTCGCGAGGTCAGTGCACCGTGAATCCACGCAAGGTTGCGCCTCCCGCCGAAACATATTGCGTTGAACTGACATCAAGATACCCGAAGGTGAACTGTTTTATGAAGGATATACTGTTCAACGACATACGCGCTACCTGCCTGATCGACACGGGTTCGTCAGATGTTTTGGTACGCATCGGCCTCGCCGAACGATCCACGTCGGAAATCCGCAAGGTCTGTCGTCCATTGGTCACGGTCGGAGACACGAACTCTCCAGGTGCGGTGACGTTGGGTGAGACCACTGCAGACATAGCCGTCGATAACGCGAGCGCTGCCGATCACCCGGTGCTTGTCGTCAGTGACGACTCTATCCCTGTGGACGTAATCGTAGGCCGGACGTGGCTAAATCTACCACACATCAGTTATTACAAGCGCCAAGATGAGCTGGTCATCGAGACACTCAACGGTATTAACTCTACAGCGCTGTCCGAAAATGTGTCTGAGGAAAGTACGAATGTATATGCAGCCCTAGTCAGTGCTGACAAGCCCACGATGACGCCGCTACTGCATACCGACGTCAAGATTGACCCGGGTGTCACTGAAGCCGAACGCGGCAGTTTGATGACGCCCATAAACGAGGACCGTGATGTGTTCGCCAAGACGTTGGCTGAACTCAATTGCACAGACGTAATGAAAATGAACATTGACAAGGTGCAGGGTAGTGACCCTGTGTGTCAAAAACCGTATCGCACGTCACCAACCGACCGTCGCATCACTGCACAGATTTTGAACGACTGGAAGTCCGCCGGTGTTGTTTCGGACTCTACGTCACCATACGCTAGCCCGGTGCTCCTTGTAAATAAGGGCACAGGTGAAAAACGATTGTGTGTTGATTACCGAAGGCTTAATCAACAAACACAGAACCAACCATATCCGATGCCGGATATCGACGACCTATTATCGCGGCTCGCGGAGAGCCGGATATTCTCCACGATGGACCTCTCCAATGGATTATTGCAAATTCCACGGAGCGAAGAGGCCAAGGAGAAAACTGCATTTGTCACGGAGGAGACCACCGCGAGGTTCGAACGAATGCCGTTTGGGTTGAAAGGGGCCCCCGGTACGTTTCAAAGAAATATGAACACCGTTTCTCGAGGTGTGATGCAACCAGGACAGAAAGTACACGCAATCAAGACATTCCCGCAACCTCGGGATGCACACGAGCTCACAGGGAAGGATGTGGCGTACGAGCGAGGTCGAAGCAGAAGACGAAGATGGCGATGTCCGACATGAGGTCGATGATGAAGACCCCGTGGTGCGGAGCGCAACCCGACCGTCACCGGGCCCAGCCGGATCAAACGTCCACCTGCGTACCTGTCCGACTACAAGCTGGACTAATTCCTATCTACCTACTGCATCATGATATGCACCTGTTTGTAAAGTTATTTATTTAATTGTGAGAAATTATTTAATCACCCGTTGTAAGTTTTTTATTTAATTGTGAAAAATTATTTAATCACCCGTTGTAAGTTATTTATTTAATTGTGTATAATTATTTAATCATCCGTTGTAAGTTATTTATTGTAATGTCGCCTAACGTTTCTGGCTTGGCTCTCCTCAGAGCGAGGACACTCTGACTGGCCAGGAAAGGCCGAATGTTAGCGACAAATGTTTTTTTGTTTAAAATGTATCATAATCAAATCAAGTTATAATGTATATTGTAAGGGCCGAGGCACTGTGTGCCCTGAACTGGTCACACTGCGCCTCGCGCCCAACCGAGACACGGACAACCGCGACGGCGGCACGTCCGGCGACAGTCTTGCTCTAGTTTTCGTAGCGACCGGGTACACCGTTTTGTCCCGCGTCCCCGGCGACCGTTTATCCAAGTAAATCACAGTCATGTTCTAGTTTTCGTAGCGACCGGGTACACCGCTTTGTCCCGCGTCCCCGACGACCGTTAATCTAAGTTGTTAAGTTAGAAACTGTAATATTATGTTCTTCTAGTTTACCGTTTGTAAGAATAAACGCCGAATACCACACACTTCGTTCTAAATATTTACCTAGTTTCCAGAATCCTGACCCGAGTCTTACCTTAAACTGCTACCGATCCTTAGTTGTTTAAAGTTTGCTAACGGTATAATGGATTGCATTAAACTTGAACTCAATGATATAATATCATAATATCATTGTAGAAGAAAAATGATTCTGAGCGAAGAAGATTTGTCAGTCTGGATATTTTATATTGTTATTATTTATTATAGCCTGTAAGTTGAATTAATAATGAAATACTTTTATTTTTTTCTATGTTGATAGACAAAGTGTTAGAAATTAAAATCCCATTTTTAGCGGTTTTTCGTAATCTTTTGGTGGTTTTTACAGTGGCATTAAATAACTATTGAGAAAATCGAAAAATGACCTCTCTAAAGTACTATCTTGATCCAATTTTCTAAAAGATAAGTTACCTACTATATGTCTATACATGTTGAAATCAAAGCACTCCTTCTGGAAGAAATTTTGTATACAGGAAAAAAAATAAACACCATTGTAGAACCAGAACCAATAGATCCCTCAGAATCGAATATATAGTTATAACTTATATGTTATAACTTTTATACAAATATTTTCTTAATTACATTAGGTAGGTACCTACTTCATTCATAGTTGATCTTAGCTTTTTAACCTTAAAAAGGTTGAAAAAGATCTCTCTGGAGTGGTTGTAGATACTGGTAATGTACAAAACTACAAAATATTTGAATTAAAAATGAATTTGGTATTTTTCAACCATTTTCGGTACCTACCTACCCAACTGATAAAAATAATCACGATATTTATTGGAAATGTTGATATAACTATAGCTTCGAAAATTTTTTATAAAATCCGTAAAATCGTATGATAAAATTTGTTTTTTAATCATGTAAAAACTGCACAACATTTAACATGTACGAGACACGAGTCAATGGGGGGGGGGTCCGGACCCCATGGACCCCCCCCACCCGTAAATACGCCACTGTATGGGACCAGCAGGCACGTAGCCAGAAAATTTCTACTAGGGGGGCCAATAATGTTTGGCCCTTTTATTACTTTCCAAAATTTTTCTTTATGAAATTCTTGTAAGGGGTATGCAATACAAAGAATCTTATTAATTTAAATAATTTACCTTTAGTTGGTAATTGGTTAAAATTATTTTTTTCACAACAAGTTATACCTAATACTTACTTATTTAATTACAAAAATAGAAAGTACCTGTAACAAAAAAAAAAAAATAAATATAGAATTACCTACATCTTCACTTATGGGATACATTTTTCATGCTATGAAAAATAAATCTACATACATATTTAAAATAATAAGCTGCTTCAATTGTTTAACTTCAAAAATTAATTCATATTTGAATACTTATCAAAAATAATAGAGATAAATGATCATCGATTTTTAAATTAATATAATTTTTAAAGAAACTCAAATTTATTAAAAAAAAAAAAAAAAACACATACTAGTAGAAAATATTAATAATACACTTATACTTATATAAATATTAAACAGTGCAATATAAAATAATTGTTCTGTTTTTATGATTTTCCGAAAACAATTGTACAAAAATATCTAGATCTAAGTTTTTAGAATTTTTTTTTTTATGCTCATTGAAGCTAAATTATTTAAACGATCATTTGTCATGCGATTCCTCAGAAAGGTTTTCAGTCGTCTCAGACATGAAAAAGTTCTTTCGCAAGCTAACTTAGCATAGACTTATAACTGCGGCTAATATATTATTGTTTTTAAAAAGGGTATCAAGACCCTATTATATTGTATTTTTTTCAGATAAAGTTATCCACGGTTCCCCGAATATAAAAATTAAATTATTACAATAATAATTGTATTACCTAATAGTAATCACAATAGATTTCTCTCAATGTGCATAATCACATTTTTGATAATTGGTAAAAATAATTATATTTTGAATTTGGGGGGGCCGGCCTTGGGCCAGAGTATATTTAGGGTGGGCCCGTCCCACCCAGCCCCCCCCTGGCTACGTGCCTGGGGAACAGACCATACCACTTACCGGTTAATTATTCAAATAATGAATCGTTATATGTACCTAAGATTGTTTATTTAAGTTCAATAAGTTGACATGTATGGCGTAGAGTCTAGGAGAATAATAATGAATAATAAACTAACAATCTTATATTATGCTTACCTAGTTACCTGCAACTACCTAACACATAAGTAATACCACTGCCTAATAAATATACTAAGTGAAGTAGTACACAATATGATTGGAAATATATTAAACAAATTTCGGTAAATAAAAAAAAAATACGGCCTCAGTTGTGAAATTGTATTTGTATTTTATATTATATTATAGTAATATATGATATTAAAAATTTAAATATTTTTAAATTCGGCGGCCAGTGATAAATGTTATTTGTTGTTTATTCCAAGCCAAACTGATATGATAATTTCATCCATGAAAGTGATATAAA